ACCCTCTAAAGATTAATGAACCTGAGGCCAATTGCATTTTTCAAATATAAAGTATGTTACCATAAAGTAGCAAATTGAATAATTATAGGGATGTTTCACCACATTCATCTATCACATCATGGCCTGAAGCTCCACAAATATTAGTGTGACTATCATCATACCTTTATTGCTTCCAGAATAGGTTCATAGAGATCTGGAAATCCAGAATAATGATACATCATACAGTGTACCAATTCTGTTAATTGTACTAAAAAGGCTGTACTGGAAGGCAGACCATCACTTTTGAAGGAGTGAACCAAATTAACTACATGAGGAACAATCTGAAAGAGAAAAAAAGACAAACATTCCTGAATTTATACAAATTGGCAACAGGTTCTCTAACTTACAAACAGAATGCAAATGTTACGTGATCAGCAAATAGTTTTTCTGTATATTCAGTCATAGATGTTTTCTAAGAAAGTTATGAAGTTAAACATTTCTAGAATATCAAGTTAAATCTAGTTTTCAGGGTCACATAGAATTGTAATTCCATGTTAGATCCCCCTCTTCATCCTATACTCCATCTAAACAGAAGCTAAGGTACAAAATAGGAGCCTTACAGTCACTGCTGTCATTCTAAAAAATGACTTAAGTTGAAAAATGTTACCAGATTGTTTAACAGGAACAATTTAAGAAAAACTCAGAATTAGCTTAAGAGCTCCACCTACTGTGAATTTTAAGTTTTTCTCTTGAAAGAATCACACATACTTTGCACATTAAAGTCTACTTAAAGAGTCTTTGAATAACTTACGCATGTAACTAAAATTATAGCTCAGGCTACAGGATTCCCTTTCTTTTAGATAAGCATAGGGATGGCACTTTCTGTTAACATGATTATCCTTATTAACAATCCCCATGCCCTACCTTCAAAAAGAGGAGATGGTTCTAAAAGTGAAAAGAATCAGAAACTTCTATTATTTTTACATAGAAAATGCTCAGGATTTACAATAAGCGCAACAATGTCTTTTCATTATAAAGTTAAAGAGTCAATATAGAGCCTATCACATATTTAAGAGGTTGTAACACAATTAACTATTTTGCAGAAATGCCTCATTACATTAATATTATAAGTAGTGCTATCCTTGTTCTAATTATTGATTATAATCTGATACTACATATTTACACTACATATGTAAAATAAATTATGCTCTATTTGTCAAACTAACTTTTTGGTTGTTAACTTGTGATAAAAGTGAATTTATAGCTCTATGGTCTTATCATTAAACAGTAATAACAATTATAATAATATTCCCATCAACTCCTTTTCCTTCCCCCTTATAAAAAAGAACAATCATATTCTTAACACCACTATTCTCATTCTGCTCTGATTTTACTTTTAATCTTGAGGTCCTAAAACACATTTCAGCCTTTGTACTGCCTTCTTTAATCTTACCTCCATCAAAGGTATTAGTTTAACCATGAAATTACCAGTTCCTACTGAGTTCACTTCATTAGGTTACCTACATTTCTAAGGAAATCTGAACTGTGATTTTGCTCCATAAAGTCATGTCTATAAGATACTCTTGCTAAATAATCAGAAATCCAAAATTATTTTATTTCTTCAGTGGTGAAGGGAGAGAGATGGAAGAGAAGAGGGAATAATTTTTTAAATAATTATTTAATTTACAATTCCAAATCTTCCAAAAGCTTTCCTTGTGTAGATTTGATTTTTGCAATATAGGTATCTACTACTACATCCTATATGGTTAAAATGATCACTAAAACAGAAATAAGACTAAGTTCTTCACAGGCATATAGATATCACATATAAGCTTCTGAATATTATGAATGCTTGAAAGTTGATTTTTTTCTGAGTGAGCAAGTCTAAATGTAGACATTATTGTATTATTCATTAAATTTAAATTACAATTTGAGAAAATGTGTATAACACATTATAATTAGGCACTTTGATATTTTTTCCTCTGTTTAAATTTTTTCCACTTACATAAAGCATATGAAAAGCACCTTAGTATGTAAGAACATATAATATCAATTTGTTTGCTCTAAAATACTCTAAACATATAATGAATAATGATGCTGCTGATTCCAGATTATTGTTCATACTTACCACTCCTAAAGCAGAGTCGTTTTGCTGAGTTATTTACAGAGTTATAGGTGATTTAACTACCATATGACCCACTATGAAAGGACCAAGTTAATTTTAGTTGAGAAGCAGGTCAGGGTATACACAGTATGTATGCAGTAATTACGTACCTGTTTTTAGGTTTTACTAAGCCATACACAATTTTCAATTTTAGATCTCTTTCTTAAATAAATGATTTCATACTTGCTTATTTCAATAAGCCAAATATTTCAAAGTCAACCATTTGTTATTTCAACTACTTTTTTCAGGAAAAAAAGCAATACAAAGTAAGGTGATAACTTCCAGTCTTTTAGAGAATTGTTAGAAAAGGAACAGGCTTAGCGTATAGCATAAATCAGAGAGATTAAGGAATGTCCTCAGTGTAAAGGGCAACAAACATTAGAATGGGTGATTAAGTTCTGTTAACGAATCTCCTTCCTGGAAATTCTGAAATAAACTGTTTCTCAAACGACCTTTGATAGAGCTTGAAACAGGGACAAATAATTATTTTCTTTCCTTGGAAGACTCTGCTAGTACAAGTGCTTTATTAGCTCAAGTTTGAGTTTTGTTTGTGTAACAGACAGAGCTAAGGTTACTGACTAGTGCTCAAACTCAGATATTATGGCAATTAACTGCAGAAATCACTCACCCTAAATGATAAAGCATAATTTTAAGTACTTGTTAGTTAGGTTTACTTACTACAAAGCCTGCAGATTTTCCTTCAGCAGAAATGAGGCACTAAGCAGGCTATGTTGAGTATATGGTTCTCTGAGGCTACTTATATTTCTATCTAATAATCAGCAGTTGGAATTCTGTATTTCTTTATCAGTCTCTTTTGAATTTGTTTGTTGTGGGTCAGTATTCCTATGATTTTTACATTGTGGGTATGTTGATAATGAGCTTGTAGTCCTGCAAAACGTGAGGAAGCAAGTAACCCCACAGAACACTGTTTTTCTGTGATGCCCTGGATAGATGAATGGACAGGTTCCCTGAACAACTTTCTGTCATTGTTCACCTGCAATAGCTGATGATCAAAAAAATGAAATCACATCAAATCCAAAGCTATGATGCAGGTGGCTGAAAGTGGAAAATTCTCGATATTTTAAAGGTGGAGTCAACAGAATTTGTAGGATATGAGTTGAGAGAGAATGAAAAGCCCAAATTTTGGGGCTATAAAACAAAGACTGGTGTTTTCATTTTTTTGCCATTCTAAAGCAGTCAATGGTTTTCAACCTTTTTCTCCTTCTATGGTATTCATATGAACCACCACCACCAGTGACACTGCCATGTGACAACTCTCCTGTGGAGCAGTAACTTTCAATTGCTGGTAGTGGTTGCAAGTGAAGCAGTTTTTCTGAGACCCAAAACATTCTGAAAATACATTATTTGCAGGGAGATCCCATAATCTCAATTTTCTAAGAAATTATAAAACTACATGAAATAGATTTAGTTCCAACCTACAATCTTTTCACTATATACAAGTGTGACTCAATATTAGACCAAAATTTTAAAACAATGTTTTTCAATGTAGAAAGCTTGTGTCATGACTTACCAAATGGAATGCCTCTGGAGAATGCTGAAAACTAAGCAGCATGTGAGAAAGAACTGCAAGAGCACCGGGTCTCACAAGAGGAAACCAAAGTCGATTAAAAACCTTCAAAAAAGACAAGACATCCTCTTAAGAGTGTGTAGGGAAAACACCGATAACTAACCTGATTAGTGATTATCTTCCGAGGGCCAAACATGATTTCTGTGAATATTCCCTTTCCTAGAAAGTTCTATCATAACATATGTTTTTAAATTCTGGGAAAGGAAGAGAGTTGGGAAAAAATATTATAGCGATCAAGGGAATATAAAGGCCAACCAACTCTTAAATCCCCTGATCAAATAAAAATCTGTCAAACCATGTGTACCAGGTCCATTATTCATTCAACAAATATTAATAGAGCACTACTATTGTTCCGCACTGTTCTAGGCACTGTGGATACAACAGTAGATCTAAAAATAAATCTCTGATCTTGCAGGGCTTATGTAGGAGGGTGAGTAGGGACAATAAGAAGTAACAGAGAGAAGTGTTACAAAAGCAAGGTAAGATATGAATAGGGAATGATGAGTGGCAAAAGAATCTACAATTTTATAAAGATTTAAGAAATGTTTCACGAAAAAGGTGACATCCGACTATAAAGCTGAAGCGAATGAGAGAAAGCCTTGCAGGTTATCTGGGAGAGGGGCATAATTTAGCAGGGCAAAGACCCTGAGGCCTTCAGCCTGGTGTACTGGAGCTATGGAAAGGAAAGCAGTATAAATAGAGTAGAGACTGAGGCAGGAACACTGGGAGACTGAATGAAAGAAGCAGCAGTGGGCCAGATTAGGTATGACCTTGTGTGACACCTAGAGAGGACCAAGGGCAGGAGCAAGGAGGCTACTGCAACCAGTATAGCAAGGGACGATGGTGACTGTGGATCAAGACAGTAGTGATGTAGTTGGTTAAAGGTGGTATGATTATGGATATATTCAAGGGTGGAGTCAATAGTATTTGTAGGATATGAGCGGAGAGCGAAAAAGAAGAAACAATGACAACTTTGAGGTTTCTGGCTTGAGCAAGTGGAGGATGGAGTAGTCATTTAAGATGAGGAAGACAAGGTCAGGAGCAAAAATCAGGGATTAGATTGTGGGTAAGCTGAATTTGAGAACCATGTATAGACAGCTGGATACATGAGTTGAATATGGAGTTCACGGGAGAATAATAGACTAGAAATGCATGTGGTAGTTACTAAATTAGAAACATTTAAAGCTGTGGGACACATATGCTGCGAGTATGGATCGAGAACAAAGTGGACCAAAGATGAAACTCTAAGACACTCTCAAGTTAGAAAGTTCCACTACTGGAGACAAGATGCCAGTGAACTAATAAGACAAAAATCAGGACAGTATAATGTCCTGGAAATGAAGTGAGGAAAGTGCTTCAAGAGGAAGTGGTCAACTGGGCCAAATGCTGCTGATAGGTCAAATGAGAGGACTCACAAGTAACTCCTGGGTTTAAGAACATTGGAAAGCACTGGTGTAAAGACAGTTTTGGCAGAATAACGGTGGTAAAGCTTGCTTAGCTGGATTCAAGATATAATGGGAGGAATTACTTTTCATATTAGATATTTGAAAACAGCAAAATTATTTTAATTACCTACACTTAAGTAGCATTTTAAATTTCTGACTATTCAAAATTGTCATTCAGAACAAAACCAAAAATGGGAACATATTCAAAATTAGATGCTTTAAAGAGGATCACCCAAAGATAAAAAGACCGACTATGTGAGTCCATATATTCTAATAGATTTACATCATCCCACTTACCAGTTCTATTTTCAGTAAAGTAACATCTATCAAAATGGTAAACTTCTGGACAGCTGCCAGTCCTTTCAGGAGTGCAATCACCCACGTATCCACATGCTGAGCCAAAGGCCAAGAGAGCCAGTCAATCATTCTGAAAATTGAAGGAAAACAAAACTATGAGTATTGTAAATATTTTCAACATTATTTAGTGAGGAATAACAAGAGTAACAGTAGATAACCACTCACTCTGACTAATATTTACTGAGCTTACTCGTGAAATTACTGTTCCAGGTGTAGAATGAGTATAATGGGTGCTTGTATTCAAGTTCCAATCCTGTAGGCTGACAGTTTCTTATTTAATATATTTCAAGGAAACAATTTTTTGATAAACTATCATTTCACATAAATGCAAAGGTTTATATTTTATAGTCATATCAAGAATTTATTAGGTAAGTTTACTTTAAGAAGAACAGTTCAAATACAGCTATCTGAACTAAGACATATGGACATGAACCAAAATTTCTCCTTTCTGGTGATTACAGTCTAAATATGAAATGCACTGTTAAAAAGACTATATATGAATTGTGAAACAGGTCTCTTCATACCTACTATACAAAATCCTACTATAAAAAGACAACAAAAGGAAAGTTCAAATAGACAAAAGGGCACTGAATGTGCAAATACTCTGCTGAAAGGCCTCATTTTGCATTTATGAGTGTTTTTCTTCTTGGATATCAACCCAGTTACTAGAAATAAAGACAAAGTAATATGGGGTCTGAGGAAGACTGTCTCCAACGTTAGACATCAACCACAATGAAGACTGGTACAACTCTTTTGGGAAGTAAGTGGCCAAATGTTCAAATTATTTGACCCAGAAATCCAATCTGGGGGATTATACAATAGTGGAAAAAGCAAAGTTTTTATAGTCAGAGTGATTTGGTTTAAAAATCTCAATTCACCAATTATTAGTTGGGGGAGCCTAATTACATAAGTTATTTAGTCTCTTTGTGCTTCAGTTTCCTCATCTGCTGACTACAGATAAAAATGCTTCTTTTACAGGGCTGATGAAAAGATTAAATGAATTTAACATATGACACTGGAAATACTGTGAATGCCTCTCCTCCACCAAATATTAACACATGTGGCAATAAATAAATACCTTGATTTAACAAAATGCTAAATAAAAATACTAGGTCTGTAAAAACACATGACCAAAAGAACAACCAACATGTTAAAAGGACTGACTTCTAAACTGTTATGGTCATTTTTTTCCCATTTGTAATGTTTTTTATTTTTTATTGAGGCATAACATACATAGAATGAAGTCCATAAATCTCAACTGTTTGTATAGACCCACATAACCACCACCCAGATCAGGATACACTAGCACATTTCTAATATCTCAGAGGGTTCCCTTGTGCTCCTTCTCAGCCAATTATCTAACCCACCCCTGGAGATCACCACTATCTGATATGATCATTTTTATAACAGCTGTGTTATAACTATCTACATTAATACAGTATTATCTTCATTAAGGTCTTTGCTATTAAGATTAAAACGTTACATCAGACATTAAGAGTTGCCCCAAAGTCCAAATGCATGTTAACAACAAGTTATCTCTATGTTCCCTATACACACGTTATTTCCCTTCTTGCTTTTCTGGCCATCTTCTTCCAATAAGGATGATTATGTGTTATTAAAGTAGTCCCTGACAGTTGTTTTGCACCTTCCAACTGTTGCTAAGAGTATATTCACCGTAGCACTATTTACGATACAGAAAAAATGCAAACAATTTAAATGTCCATCAATAAGGAAATGGCTAAACACACTATGGCATTGATAACATGGAACATTATAAAGTTTTAAAGAATTAGATAGAGCTATATGGATCTCTCCATGGAGACCTAACATGGAAAGAGCTGAGATAATGTTGAATTAGAAAAAAAATTTTTTTAAAAACCTTTTATTTAAAAGAAAACCATGTGAGTACATATTACATATATATATATTTAGTGTAAATATGCACACACAAAAAAGATGTGGTTTAGAGGAATAAATGTCAGCATATCTCCTTAGTTTTGTGCACTCACTGCCTCATGAGTGGTGGTACTTCCAAAACAGAACTAGACTAGGCTCTCTAGAACACAGGGCCCAAGGCCAGAACTCCCTTTATCTCAGGTCTAAGGGGAGTATTGGTAAAGAGTGAGACTGGACAGAGCAGAAAATTCCATTTGGCTCTGTCTTTTCACTATCTCTAAGCACCCAAGTTGGTCTTTTCCTCTATCTTCCCCATTTCTGGCTTCCCATCTCATAAGCTTCTACTCTTTACCTTATTCCATGTGTACCCAGTCTCCTGATCACCTGAGAGAAACTTAGGTTAGAAGTAACACAAATTAGAAGCCATTCACTCAGCAAATAGTTGAGCGTCTATTATTTAACAGGTGCTTTGTTAAGTGCTGAAAATATAATAGTAAGATATGATTTCTGCCCTCAAATAGGGAAGAAAAGTTAGAAAATTTGTCAAATTTGTCAACAGTCACACAATTTAATAAATAGCCATACTGGTATATAAGCCAAGTTCTACTGGTATATAATGTAATGCTTTTGGCTATTTAATTATACTCCAGTTCTGCTTCAAAATGTTTGGACTTGCATATGCCCACATTCTCTCAGGCACAGGCATTGTCAGATGCGTTATTTTTATGGTTAACTATAGTACTCTTATCCACCAATGTACTGGTTGCTATATTGCTATTTGACTTTCAAGGACCCTTACCCTGACATATTAATTTTAATTTCTTACTATTTAAGGAACATTTAACTATAGATGTAAATTTATGTACTTTGAAGTCTTGTTTCCTCCATTAGACGGTAAGCTTAAGAGCAGTGATCCTGTCTTTTTATAACATCTTTTATCTTTGACCTTTGGCTTCTTAGTATTTAGGATAGTGCTTGGCACTGAGGAGCTCAGATTTGTTGAGTAAGTGAAACCCTTTCTTTTTATAGATAAAAACACCCATGCAACTTGAAAACCTTAATATTAAATTGGTGATATTATAAAAGGCCACAAAAATATATTTAATCTTAATTTGTGGAGAATAAAACCAATTTTTACTTTAATATGGCAGCTTAAAGGCTAGATCTTTCAGTTTTGCTTGTTCCATGTTTTAAAAATTGGGAAATTTCACATAAACTGGACTTCAGTCTTCTTTGAAAAAGCATATCAACAATATTGAACTCAAATTTCCTTGTGGCAACAAGACAACTGGAGTTGAGGATCAGTTTTCCTTTCAGAATGTGCTTGTGTACTCCATTTCTTATTATTGCAGCTATATCTCACCTATTTCATACTTTAACATTACTTATCTGGTCCTGGTATGGTATTTGCATTTCTTTGGATAACAGAAAATGACAGTAAATTGTGATAACTGCTATAGGTAGGGAAGGGTAGAGTATGGGAAGGCATAAGGTGGTAGTGTGGTAAAAGTAAATGTTGCTATCCTTTTCAATTATATTTTTAATTTGAGAATAATTACTCCAGGTAGATTATAAGTTAAATAGAATCATGTAGGCTGAATTGGAAATGCAATACAAAAAATGGATCACAACTTTCCATAGAAACGAAGAGGTAACAATTTCCAAATGTATTTTAAAAACAACATAAATTCATTAGTTGGCTACTATGGTTGTTTTGAAAAGGTTGAAAAATTGACAAGAGTTCAGAATGCCAAGAATGGGGACTTGCACCTGATTTAGTAAGTGGTGGGAGTCACTGTAGTTTCTTGATCAAAAGGGAAAAATGAGTAGGTCAGGATGACTTAGAAAAGAGAGATAAGTCATTGCTGGCAAAAAGACCAACTGCAATACTATGTTGTAATGATTTACAGCATGTAACAAAAAATCTTAGCTATTATTACCTAGGCAATGGAGGTGATAGGCCAGCTGATTTCTAGTTTCACTTTCAGATGTTAAATCTGTAATTCTCTAAATGTTCCTATTATGTTTGGAGGCTAACATAATTTATGATATAGTCATCTTAAAGAGAAATTTTAGTGTTGGTGCAGTCACAATGACAAGAGAGTTCCTGCTCAAAAGGACACAGAAGGCGTTTCATTATGGAGAGAAGGATGAGATAAGAGTGTTTTTAAAAGTAAATGAACAATGAGAACTTTACATAAGACTTGGAAATCAACCACATATAGCTGAGAATTGATAAAAACAGAGGAAAAAGGAAAATAAAAAGAACAGATATGAAGAAAATGCTGACAGCAGTGTCACAAGACTTCTAGAATTTCAAGAACTATGCATATAAAGATATCAAGATGAGAATAAAAATATAAAACATCAAATATGACAAGCAAGGAGATCACCATTAATTGAGAGCAGTGGGGATAGAGGCCACATAGAAGGAGCAATATTTATATAGACTTTCATCCAATATACAAAGCACCTTCACAAATCTTGCTGAAGTTAAAGGAATGAGCAGTAAGAAACTGGAAGCAAATGTTATAGGCAAATTGATTCAATTAAGTTTAAGAGCACAAGGAAGAAGGAAGGAAAGCTACAAGAGGCCTTTTTAAACACTGGAGGAAAAGGGGGAGAAGGTGGTCAAAGTACCCAGTTTTGTTATAGTGAGATGTGTACACATGCAACTTTCTGAGAACCTGACATAAATATGTAAGTTTATATATTACGTCATGATTGTAATTTTATAACAGGTGCACAGAAACCATTCTGTTCCAAATCC